GCTGAAGGAAGCAGGCACCTGGTCTGGGAGAGGGGCTGAGTGGCCCTACGAGAGGGCAAGGGGTTTGTAAGGATGGCCCCGGTCTGACCTGTGTCTCTGGAATTTAGGCAAAGTTCAGTTGTCTCCTATCAGAGCTGAAAAGTGAAATAAAGTCATTCTCGCAGTCACAAACTTGATGGAGGAAGCCCTGATAAGTTGGTGACAGAAAGTTTATTCAAAGGACAAAATTTGTCCAAAGAGTGATGGTTCTTCTAACTGATCTGTGCCTGGGATGAGTCAGAGGATAGACTAGTGGGGCTCCCACCAGTCTTTCCCCTGTAGACTTTCCCCTGTGGAGACAACACCCAGGACAACAGACAGACCATGGAGCTGAAGTTAGAAGGTTAGAAAACAAGTTTCCCACTTTACCAATTTACAAATCTGATCAGATAACTAAGAAGCCTTGGAGGACTGGGAGGACTTGTTACTAGGAAAACAACAACAACAACACACACACACACACACACACCCACGCGCGCAAGCGACTAAAGGTGTTTCACAGAACTTAGAGCCCAATCCAGTGGAACTCAGCCCCAGCCGTATTTGCTCAAGGCAGCAAGGACTTCAGATAAATCTTGGTGAAACTCCATTTCCATCAATGCTCCCAGCCCAAGACCACCAGAAACACACTTAGAATTGAGCAGTTTGGCTTGATCTCTAATGGCAACAAGGCTACTGAGATCTTCCTGTTTTCCCTGGGATCACCCCTCTAGATGTGCACTGAAGACACATTGGGAGAGATATCGTATGTGGAGAAGATCTTGTGAAATCTAAGGGTTTTCTGAAATACAAGAACTGTTGAGTAGTTCTTTCTAGATGGAATTCTGTGGTCTTCCCAGGGTATAGTGTCCAAACCACACCTGTTTTTTTAAGATTTATTTTATTTGAAAGTCAGAGTTACACACAGGGAGAAGGAGAGGCAGAGAGAGAGAGAGAGAGAGATCCTCCATCCACTGGTTCACTCCCCAAATGGTCACAATGGCTGGAGCTGCACCAACCAATCTGAAGCCAGGAGCCAGGAGCCTTCCCCGGGTCTTCCCATACGGTGCAGGGGCCCAAGGACTTGAGCCATCCTCCACTGCCTTCCCAGGCTACAGCAGAGAGCTGGACAGGAAGTGGAGCAGCCGGGACTAGAACTGGCCCCTATATGGGATGTCAGCTCTGCAGGCAGCAGCTTTACCCACTACACCACAGCTCTGGCCCCGCACTTATTTTTAAATTAAACTTTTCACTTGCAGATAATTGTAGAGTCTCATGCAGCTGTGAGAAACACTAGAGAGAAGGCTATTGTACACTTTCCCCCAATGATAACATCTTGCAAAACTCTAATATTTATCAACCAGGTTATTAACACTGGTGCAGTTATGCTACAGAACACCTCCATCACCACAAGGCTGCCTCAGGCTGTCCTTTATCACCACATCCACTTCTCCCTCACCTGCACCTCCTTCTTAATCCCCAGCATCTACTAGTTCTCCATTTCCATAGTTTTGTCATTTCAAGGATGTTATAGCAATGAAATCATACTATATGCAGTCTCCTCAGATTGGTTTTGTTCACATGGCATAATCCCCTGGAGATTTATCCAACTTATGTACACATAGTTGATTCTTTTCATTGCTGCATAGTAATCCATGATATGATGTACCACAGTTCACTTAACCATTGAAGAATAGCTGGCTTATTTCCATTTTTGGCTATTACAAATGAAGCTGCTCCACTCACTCATGTATAGGTTGTTGTGTGAACATAAGTTTTTTTTTTTTTTTTTTTTTTTTTTTTTTTGACAGGCAGAGTGGACAGTGAGAGAGAGAGACAGAGAGAAAGGTCTTCCTTTTGCCGTTGGTTCACCCTCCAATGGCCGCCGCTGCAGCCGGCGCACCGCGCTGATCCTGGCAGGAGCCAGGAGCCAGGTGCTTTTCCTGGTCTCCCATGGGGTGCAGGGCCCAAGCACCTGGGCCATCCTCCACTGCACTCCCTGGCCATAGCAGAGAGCTGGCCTGGAAGAGGGGCGACCGGGACAGAATCCGGCGCCCCAACCGGGACTAGAACCCGGTGTGCCGGCGCCGCAAGGTGGAGGATTAGCCTATTGAGCCACGGCGCCGGCCTGAACATAAGTTTTTTACTCCCTGGAGTAAATGCCCAGGGGAGCAATGACTGGACTGTATCATAGTGGAATATTCACTTTTTAAAGAAACTGCCAAATGATTTTCCAGAGTGACTGGATCAATCAGTGAGGGATCTCATATTTGGTATTGTCACTCCTTTTATTTTGGTCATTCTAATAGGTATGTGATGATATCCCATTGTAGTTTCAGTTGCATTTTTCCAGTGGATAATGATGTTGAGCAAATTTCATGTGCTTTTTTTGCCATGTGTATATCTTCTGAAACGTCTTTTTCTGATTTTTGAATTGGATTTTTAAAAAAGATTTATTTATTTGGGCTGGCACCGCGGCTCAATAGGCTAATCCTCCACCTAGCGGCGCTGGCACACTGGGTTCTAGTCCCGTCGGGGTGCTGGATTCTGTCCTGGTTGCCCCTCTTCCAGGCCAGCTCTCTGCTGTGGCCAGGGAGTGAAGTGGAGGATGGCCCAAGTGGTTGGTTGGGCCCTGCACCCACATGGGAGACCAGGAGAAGCACCTGGCTCCTGCCTTTGGATCAGCGCCATGCGCTGGCCACAGCGCACTGGTTGTGGCGGCCATTGGAGGGTGAACCAACGGCAAAAGGAAGACCTTTCTCTCTGTCTCTCTCTCTCACTGTCCACTCTGCCTGTCAAAAAAAAAAAAAAAAGATTTATTTATTTGAAAGGCAGAGTTTACAGAGGCGGGAGTGGGGAGAGAGAGAGATCTTCCATCTAGTGGTTCACTTCCCAAACTGCCAGGAATTAGGAGCTTTACTGGGGTCTCCCATCTAGGTGCAGGGGCCCAAGTACTTGGGTCATCTGCTGCTGCTTCCCCAGACACATTAGCAGAGAATTGGATAGGAAATGGATCAGCTGGGTCTAAATCAGTGCCCATATGGGATGCTGGCATTGCAGCCAGCAGCTCAACCTGCTACATCATAATGTCAGCCCCTCTAATTGGACTTTTTTAAAAGCCCTTGATATTAGTAGAGCCATTTCTAATTTCCTTCTATTTGAATGACCTATATTTTTTCCATCCTTTTATTTTCAACCTGCCATTATTGCTTTTTGAACTGATTTTTTGTAGACAGTATATAGTTGGGTCATTTAAAAAATATTCCATTCTGCCAATCTGTCTTTTAATTGGTATCTGTAGACTATTTACATTTAGCATAATTATTTATATATTATGGATCAATCTGCAATTTTGTTTTTGTTGTCTGTTTGTATTATCTGTTTTATTTTTCCTGCCTACCTGTCAGTTACCTGACTACTTTTTAGAATTCCATTTTGATTTGTCTGTACTGTTTTTTATTGTATCTATTTGAATAGCTTTTCAACTTTCACTCTAGGCATTGCAACATTACTTGTCAGTCTATTAGCATCAACATTTTGCTAGTTCAAGTGAAGGGTAGAAAACTTACTTCTATTTATGTCTCTTTATCTTCTCTTATTTATAAAATAATTATCTTAAATAATTTCTCTACATCCACTTAGAATCACATCAGATTGTATTATAATTTTTGTTTCAACCATCAAATATAAGACTCAAAAAGAGAAAAAAAAAGCTTATGTATCTACCCATATTTTTACTTACCAAGTTCTTTTTGCTTTTCTGGTGTTCCAACTTTCCTTATTTCATCAATTGTTCTCTGTTTAGAGAATTTTCATTTAGTCATTCATTTTTTGAAAATTTATTTATTATATGAAAGAATTATAGAGAGAGGGAGAGAGAGAGACAAAGAGATCTTCCATCTGCTGATTCACTCCCTCAAATGGTTAAAACAGCTGTGGCTGGGCCAGGCCAAAGACAGGAACCTACATCTTCATCCAGTCTCCCACATGGGTGCAGGGACCCAGGCATTAGCAGGGAGCTGGATCAGAAATGGAGCAGCTGGGTCTCAAACCAGCATTCATATGGAATGCCAGCCATCATTGCTGGCAATGGCTTAACCTACTATGCCACAATGCTGGCCCTTAGTCATTCTTTTTAAGGCAGATCTACTGGCAACAAATTCTTAGTTATCTATCAACTGAGAAATTCTTTACTTGCCCTTCTTACTTGAGGGATGTTTTTGCTGGATATAAAACTCTAGGTTGGCTGTCATGCCATTTCTTTCTGTCCGCCATGGTTTCTGGTGAGGAATCTGCTGTTTAACAGATGAGGCTGCAGCATCACAGGAAGACACTCATGTCAACATGGGCATGAGGCCAGCACTTCCCTACATCTGAGGCTTCAGCATCAGCCAGATGAATGATCGATTATTCTGCATCCTACAAATGAGGACATTTATCATGACATAGGAAGCAATATATAATGACAACTTAACCAATATTTTTAAACTCAAGTTTCAAACAGAATGAACTAAAATTTCTCCCTCTTGCATTAAAATCTAGAAAGATGGACTCACTGAGCAGGGAGAAAAAGGAAACTCACAGCAGGCGGCATCACAGTACAGCGGGTAAAGCCACTGTCTGTGATGCTGGCATCCCATATGAGCACCTATTTGAGTCCTGGCTGCTCTGTTTCTAATCCAGCTCCCTGCTAATGTGCCTGGAAAAGCAACAGAAGATGGCTCAAGCACTTGGGTCCCTGCCACCCATGTGGGAGACCCAGATGTAGTTTTAGGCTCCAGGCTTCAGACTGGCCCAGCCTGGGCAGTTGCAGCCATTTGGGGAGTGAACTAGCAGATGGAAGATCTCTCCTCTCTCGCTCTCGCTCTTGCTCTCATGCTCACTTCTCTGTCTGCAACTCTGCCTTTCAAATAAATTTTAAAAATCTTAAACAAGCTAAAATGCACAAAGTAACTTTTTGTATCTGTTTGTTTTTAATGCAGCATGGAGAGAAAACTCATGTCCAAGCCTCTGTCCAGCTCCATATCAGAAATGGAACCAAATAGCACCCTGAGCAGTTACAACAGTAGCAAGGACTGCATGATTGATAACTTCAAGCAAGAATTTTACCCAGTCATATACTTGATAATATTTGTCTTGGGAGCCTTGGGAAATGGCTTTTCCATATATATTTTCCTGCAGCCTTATAAGAAATCCACGTCTGTGAATGTTTTCATGCTAAACCTGGCCATTTCAGATCTCCTATTCACAAGTACACTGCCCTTCAGGGCTGACTATTATCTTAGGGGCTCCCACTGGGTATTTGGAGACCTGGCCTGCAGGATTATGTCCTACTCCTTGTACGTCAACATGTATAGCAGCATTTACTTCCTGACGGTGCTGAGTATCGTGCGTTTCCTAGCCACTGTTCACCCTTTCCGGCTTCTCCACATCACCAGCATCAGGAGTGCCTGGATATTGTGTGGCGTCATTTGGATTCTCATCATGGCTTCCTCGATCGTGCTTCTGGGTACTGGCTCTGAGCACAAGGGCAACGTCACATCCTGCTTTGAGCTGAATCCTGGTAAGATCAACAAACTGCAGACCATGAACCACATAGCCTTGGTGGTGGGCTTCTTGCTGCCGTTGTGCACCCTCAGTGTCTGTTACCTGCTCATTGTTCGAGCCCTATTGAAGGTGGAGCTCCCAGAATCAGGGCTGCGGCTTTCTCACAAGAAGGCACTGATCACCATCATCATAGCCTTGATCCTCTTCCTCCTGTGTTTCCTGCCCTACCACGCACTGAGGACCCTGCACCTGCTCACGTGGGAAGTGGGGAAGTGCCAAGAAACATTGCACAAAGCCGTGGTCATCACACTGGTCTTGGCAGCTGCCAACAGCTGCCTCAATCCTCTGCTCTACTACTTTGCTGGGGAGAACTTTAAGGACCGACTAAGGGCTGTGCTCAGAAAAGGTCATTCCCAGGAGGCAGAGACAAAGTTCAGCTTTCCTGTTTGTGTGTGGCTGAGAAAGGAAGCAAAGGTGTAATGAGTTACTGGGTGATGCCTGCTCATGCACCATTGTGTCCACCTCCATGCACTTGACATCTCCAAATGACCTGGTGTTTACAGCCTTCCCAACAAACATCCAATCCCAACATGAACTTGACCATGACTTTTGTTGATAAGACCTACTTCAAAGTGTCATTAGGTATATTTTCAGTGGTTTGGGTCTGATGAGGGATACAGGAAGGAAAAGTCCTACAAGTCTTGCTCCCTGAAATGTCAGATTGGGAAAAAGTGCCAGGAACAGTAGGTCCTGCTTTTCATCAGATCCTGTACCAGATCTCTGGCCCTTCGAGCCTTCTACATTCGCAACCTGAAGGCATACTCTATATCCAGGGTTCTCCCACTCCCCTTCCCTCCTCAACCCCTTGAGATACAGCCAAATAAGAAGCCCCTGGAGGCCCCAGTGCAGATAAAATGTGCTTCCTAAGAATACAGGGACAGACTTCGACTATGAAAAGAAAGGCTGCCCTAGAACAAAGCAAGCCAAGGCCCCAAACAAGGACAATGAGAGGGAAAGGGTAGAAGGATTGAGGCAAGAGAAAGCTGGTTGATTGTAAGTAGGGGAAGGAGGACTTCCATTTGGCTCTGGAAGGTAAGAATGTTCCCTTTGCCACTCTTTTGTCTGAGGAACAGAAGGGATAGGAGGAGTAGAAGACAGACCAGGGCATTTATCTAGGACCGGAATAGGGAATAGCTGGCCCTGCCAAAGCAAACACAAGCAAGACTCAAAATTCATTAAATCTCTAGCAGGCTAATTTTCCAGTTGATCATTTTGTATGGTCCTTGAATGATGTTAGAAATATTCAAATGGCCCTTGGCAAAAGTGTTTCCCCACCCTGCCGTAGGGCATGGAGGCATTGTGTGTGGAGCATGGGAGATGGAGGGTCGAGGATGCACATTGCCATTCTGCTTTCAGATTTGGGTTTGGACTGACTTTGCTGCAGTTCTCACTCTTGCCAGTTAATCATTTGTGATGGGGGTCCAGAAGGCTCTAAGGGTTTGGGTTGGGCACAACAGGAAAGGGTAGGAAGGAGAACAAGTTACAAAGGTTGTTGTACTTCTATAAACATTTTGAGTAGTATGATGATACCTTCCCTTTTGATAGAATGTAGAAAAGCAATAGGTAGTGGGAGGAGATCTTTTTGTGCACTGTCACAAGGATAAGGACACCTCCAACCACCAACACCATGACATTAGATTAAATCAAGAGGGAGGACAACATGGCATAGGAGAAAGGGGAAGAGAATTCTCAGATGTTAGTGTGTAGCAGGGTCACACAGGTTGGAGCAGGAATCCAAAAGGACTGTAGGAGGATGTCTCCAAGGAAAATAAGAAAATACTTGATTTGCACACCTTCAGAGTGATTTATATTTCTTTTGGAGAGTTCGTGATGAACTAGTGATCAACACAGAAAAGTAAGCAACTGAAAATTTAATGCAGTTATCAGATACAAAAGAAAAAGAAATTGCTGTATAACAGGGAACATTTAACCATACACACTAAATGGATGAGCTGTGAATAATATTTACAGAGAATAATGTCAACAGGGAAACACTATAATATTTTTCAGAAAATGAGGGGAGGAGATTGTGTTGAGGGAGAGGTGTAAGAAACCTAAGTTCCCATCTTCCATCATCAATAACGCATAACTAAAGCTGGGATGATGCAGAGTTACACGGGCAAGTATGTAGCAATAGGAGGAAAACACCAGAAGAAGTAGCAAAAAGAGTGGACAGAGATTGCCTCTGGAGAGGAAGCAGGGATGGGAAGATAGGATGCAGACTCTCTTTTCCCTTTTAGAGATGTTTAGCTGTCAACCTTGTATTGCTGAAGTTAAATAAAAATTCAGTTAAAGCTAAAATCAGCTAAAATTCAAATTAGTAGACCAGGATAAGTACCTGGCTTCTGCCATCGGATCAGCGCGGTGCGCCAGCCGCAGCGCACTGGCTGCGCCGGCCATTGGAGGGTGAACCAACGGCAAAAGGAAGACCTTTCTCTCTGTCTCTCAATCTCACTGTCCACTCTGCCTGTCAAAAAATAAAAAATAAATAAATAAGTAAAAAAAAAAAAACACACACAAAGGTGCTGGTGCTGTGGCATAATCGGTTAAGTCACTGCCCATAGGCTCAGCTGCTCCACTTCTGATCCAACTTCATGCTAATGACCTGGGAAAGCAGTGGAAGATGGCCCAAATCCTTGGGCCCCTGCACCTACATGGAAGACATGGAAGAAGCTCCTGGCTCCTGGCTTCGGCCTGGCCCAGCTCCAGCTATTGCAGCCATTTAGGGAGTGAACCAGCAGATGGAAGATTTCTCTTTCTCTCTGCCTCTGCCTCTGCCTCTCCTTCTCCCTCTATGTAACTCTGCCTTTCAAATAAATAAATAAATCATTTTTTAAAAAAAGGAAGAAAATAAAGGCTTCTGGAAATGAACATGGAAGACTGACAGGAGAAAGGAAAGTAGACAGGACTACAGTGGGTTTGGGCCCTCAAGGAGAAGGGAGGGAGTCCTCCCTGGGGTGTTGGGAGTCACTCCCTGCAGTCAGAGGTGGTTTGCTATGTCACTTAGGATGTTTTTAGTTTCAAATAACAGAAAACCCAACTCCAAGTGGCTGGCACAATAAAGGTATTTCACAGTCCTGTGTGGCTGAGATATATGAAGGGAAGTGGAACTTCAGGCTCAACCCAGGCAGGCCTCTCAGGCTTTGCCACATGGCTGAATCCTCTTAGGGGAACAAGCTGAGAGCAAGCAGCCTAGGGCCAGGTCTTGCCTTACTTGTTTCTAGAAGAAACAGGTGTCTCCTACCCAAATCATTTAGCGAAAGTCCATGGTTCCCTTTTGATTGAGCCTACTGAGATAACACACCACTCCAAAATTAAACCAAGGAAGAAGGGGTTACCATGCTCCAACAAGGATAATAAGTCCACACTTGGAGAAGGGCTTGGGATTAACCTGACTGGAGCATCACCTGGGAGAGGGTGAGATGAGGTTTGCTGAGGCCACACATTAAGCATGGCAAGGGAGGTGGGGAGGGAGCTGCCAAGTAGCCAGGAAAAGCTGTGGGCATGGTCTGCAGCAGGTGCAGTGGCTCAGAGAGATGCAGGAACAATGGGTTTGAGGAAGAAGGGTGATAAGTGATTTAGGAGTTTCTATTGTGATGTCATAGGGATTTCCAACTGACAGAATCCTCAACGACCTTCCAAGGGGGAAGTGGCCCAGGCAAAGCTTTGTTTTGGAAAAATACCCCAAACCAGATGGAGGCGTTGCGGTAGAACACTCAAACCTGGGTCTGCTCACTGAGCTGCAGAAAGCCAATCACTGACATGGGGTGGTGGAAGAAACAAAGTGCAGAGCAAGGAGCCCACAGCTGTTGCTAATTCCTGGGATCCCTGAGTAGTTAGAGGGGAGGGTTCTTATGGACTGAAATTGATGCCCATCAGCTCATGTCCACGTTCCTGGTTGATCAGTGAAGCTCATGACCATCCTTAGATTGGTCAGTGGTGCTATACTCTGTAGGCAGTTTATGATGGCCAGGTGGGCTTCAGCTGGTCTCAGGGGGCTACAGGGTTACATGTAAGTTATCTTGATATGTCCCTGTCTGGACCTGGAATTGCCCCCAGACAACCTCTTCCCCATCCAGACAACACTGACCATCAAGCTTTTATCTATTGGAGAAGCAAATGACTTCTTGAGTCCAGTGATTTCAACTTTGTAGGGCCATCTGGATCACTCCCTCTATTCAGTGAATTCCTTCTGACAAAGTATAGGCAAGGACACCCTGGGCTCAGGGAGACAGGTGAGAGTCTGGGTCCTGCCTTTACGTTATAGGGCTTCTCTCTCCCTGGGGATGAGCAGTCATGGAGAGAGAGTACTGTGAGTTATTAATGTTGTTAAGTCCATGGGGTGTGTGTGTGTGTGTGAGAGAGAGAGAGAGAGAGAGAGAGAGAGGAAGGAAGGAAGGAAGGAAGGAAGGAGAAAAGAAAGAAAGAAAGAAAGAAAGAAAGAAAGAAAGAAAGAAAGAAAGAAAGAAAGAAAGAAAGAAAGAAAGAAAGAAAGAGAAAGAAGGAAAGAAAGAAAGAAAGAAGGAAAGAAAGAAAGAAAGAAAGAAAGAAAGAAAGAAAGAAAGAAAGAAAGAAAGAAAGAAAGAAAAAAGAAAGAAAGAAAGAAAGAAAGAAATTTATTTTCCCTTTTTGCAGCCCGGGGAAAGCCTCTTGTCCTGAGGGAAGGAAAGGAATGGAAGTCTTTATTTACAGAAGTGAAAGCCAAAACTGTCCCAGGGTTTCAGACACTGCTTTTCTTGTTTGAGAGAGGAGAGATTTCCTCAAGCAAACACAAAAATTGTTCAACCAGGAGGAAGGATTTTTTGCTGGGTAAACTTTGGTGGAATTGTGATACTCTAGCTATACTTTTTCAAAGGAGACCTCAGATGCAAATATCATTATCTTTTGTAACTGTGTTCAATCTTTTGTTTTACATTTAATAATTGCAATTAATTCTCAAGTGGAGACACTGTTAGATGGGCAGAAATAGGTTAGGAGAGGAAAATGGCAAGGAAGAAGGCTTTCTATAGAGAATTCAGTTTTCTCTTAGAAAAGTTTTAAAATAGAAACCCAGCTAGGGAACAGGATGGGGGTAGGGGGTAATCCAAAGGATATGGCCAATGGAAGAGCCTTACTCCAAAGACATTCTATCCACAAGTAGACAGAGGCCGCTGCTTAAGGCTGATAAAAGCCTTTAGGAAAAATAGAGTGAGAGAGGAATGGCTAGAATGTTAACATGTATTTTAAAGCTCTAATAATGAAAGGGTGGCACTGGCTTGAGGATACACAGAGAAATGAGAGAAACACAGCTTGGAAACAGAGGCTAATTTGCGCAGGGAGTTGGAAAAGGCTCAGAAGGGTTAGGTGCACAACGTGCTGAGAAGACAGAGTTCTAAAACCAAGGACCTCCGGCTCCCACCCCTGTATGCCAAGTGCGTGGTAGACACAGCATGCCTGCTGCACACAAAGAGAACCTGCAGCCTGGGCCAGTGGGCCAGTGGTTGATGGCCAAAGGATCTCATGCAGGACCTCAGGACCTTTGCATAACCTTCAAGTTATGATAAACCAAAATGTTGTACAGTTCTCAAATTAGGGAACTCTTATGATGACTAGGACTGAATTTCTCACTAGCCTGGAGGGATGGATGCTTAAAGCTAGGTATCAATTAACATTCTTAAAATTGCATTTCATTCATGAAGCCATATTGAAGAGAAGTTCACACTTTTTTTTCAGATATATTTTGTTTATTTGAAAGTCAGAATTACAGAGAGAAAGGAAGAGACAAGAGAATGAGAGAGATCTTCTATCCACTGGTTCACTCCCCAAATGGCCGCAACAGCCAGGGCTGGGCCAGGCCAAAGCCAGGAGCCAGGAACTCCATCTAGGTCTCCCATATAGGTGTTAGTGGCCCAACTTCTGCTGCTGTATTGGAAGCAGAGTAGCCAGCACTCAAACCGGCACTCTGATATGGGCTGCCAGCATCCCAAACAGCACTTGGCCCTCGTGTGCCACAAAATCTACTCCTCAGCTTTATGTTTTTGCAATCCAATCATGATATTACCTTTGGATGATTGCAGCACAATTTAATTATCCATATTTCTGCTAATGGAGACTTAGGTTCTTGCCGGTATTTTGTCTTCAGGAACAGAGCTGCTGTGAGTACTCCCATGTATGTCTCTCAGGGCGCACATAAAATCTCCTCCAGATACACGCTGAGGAATGTGCTCATGACAACGTCGCCAGTCATAGCTAACTGCTTCCTACACTGGCGACCGAGTCACAGCCCTGCCGGCAGGGAGTGTGAACTCCTTGGAAGCATTTGAGGTTTCAAGTGACTTTCTTTATGGCTTTCATATAAATAAACCCTTCCTAAAGGCAATTGCAAAGGTTGTACTCTTGGCAAAAAGAAAAATGACAACAAAGAGTCTGAAATGTAAGAAGGAACAGCGAACAAAGATTTGGATGAATCTGTGTATAAATCCCGAGTTCCAAGCTGTTGGCTAGGCTAATGCTCTTCTCTTTGTTGTTGCTGATAAGAGCCTGGCTATCCAATTGCCATTCCTCTAATAGCAGTAGCTAGCACTTATTCCTGCTACACATTCTTCCAGCAAATGTGTGTGCATTTTGAAAGAAATTGAAAATACCATTAACTGTGTTTTATGGGTGAAGGAACTGAAGTTTTAGAGAGGTGAGATAATTTGCCAAAACATGCTTGCAAACAATGTACTCAGTATTGAAAGCCAGCTGGTACAGCTTTGGAACTCACGCTCCCACCAGCCACACTTGACACTCTCATCATAACTATGACACCAAACTGTGGTGTGATACTGCCTCACAGATGAGCTGCTTTTCTTTCTGGTTGGCTTTAACATCTCTTCTTTGTCTTTTGGGTTCTAAAATGTTAATGTGATGTGTTGAGGTGGAGTTTCTTTTTCTTTAGCTTGATTTGGATTCAGCTGTGTCTAATCCATCATTTTGCACTTAATTATTTCACTTTTCATAATGCATTTTTTTAGAGTGGCAGGTTGTAGTTCATGGTTTTTTGCTCTTGTTTATCTCTACTATCTCATTTTCTGTTGTTGAAATATACTTGCTTTATTCTGTGTATCCAACAACTTCATCACGAAGTCTTTGCCAGTCTGGTTCTGTTGTCTATCCCCTCTGCTGCCTCTCACCCATGCAGACTTGGCATGTTGTGTGATTTTGACTATGGGCCCCTGTTTACTGAAGCAGTCAGCGGGGATTTTTAAAGCTTACCTGACTTTAGCCCACAGAGGTTTTATGTTTATTTCTGCCAGCTCTTTGATGTATTACAATTCTGGACCACATTAAATTAAATTCACCACTAGATATTTTAATACCACATAAGAAGTACAAATTCTGATGATTACTTCCCCAATAAGCAGCTTGTCATTCTAAATTTCCAGGACAAATACTTTCTGTCTTTACCTAATGGGAGGATCTAGAAAAAAGTGAACTGCTGCTCTCTTCTGTATGATAGATGTGTTTGTAATATTCCTTTGTACTGAGAATAGGACCTACAGGGTTCTAGCTTTATGCAAAGAGTACAGTAGATTTTATTCAAAAATGGTAACTATAAATTCCTTCTCTACCCATAACTGTATGATGTTCATCACATCAAGAAGTAGAAACTAATTTGCCCCCTCTTGAATATGGGCTAATGGCTTGTTTGGCTAATCGGATACAGCAGAAGTGACATTCTGGGATTTCTATGGTTAGGTCCTAACAAGTCTTGAGGCTTCTGCTTGCCTCTTTACATCCAGCTCTTGAGCTGTTCCCTCTCAGAACTTAAGCACCATTGGTGCAAGGACACGAGCTACCTGGAGA